CACATTCAGTGTAAATGTGTATCCATTTACCCGGATTGATAGAAATGGAAGAAATTGTTCAATATTTATTGGAATGGTTCCATTTTTTAAGTGAGAAATGCCCCTAGTCTTCCCAACTTGAAGCGATAGGTTCTTTTTTATATTAGCCGAATATTTTGGGTTGTGAAAAATCTCGAACATTGAGGGATTTTCATGATTGTGAATCAATTTTGCTTTTTTTACTTGATTTGGTCGATTTTGCTTTTAGTATTGACAATCGAACTGTACTAAAATGTACAATGTGGCGGACACCGGTTTCCATACTCAATTCATGACGACGTACTTAAGCAACAAATGCAAAGCTAATCAATGAGAAAAATGTCTAGAATGACGTTTGGTTTGGCGCCATCTACAAGATGGAAGTATTTTGCCGTACAAATACAGTGCACCCCCGCAAATTAGAAACCCGAAATTTAGAAATCCTCAGAAATTAGAAATGAATATCAGGTTTGAAAATTTGTATGGAAAATTTCTAATTTCCGGGGTTCATTTCCAATTCACGAGGTTTCCGAATCATTTCATTCAAGACAAAGGGAAATTTACTTCATTTTTAATGAAAAAACCTAATGAAAGTCTTTTCCATTTCGTTCAATAACTATATTAGCAGATCAGCTTGAGATTTTTGACGTTCACCATGAAGTTAAAAATTAAGTCACGAAGTAATCTGTTCCATATTGTCTGCGAAAATCATCAATCATTAACAAATCGAATTGTATATAGAATGCTAACGTTTTCTGTTTACTATCGTATGATTTAATAAGAACAGCCGGTCATCATTTATTTCGGTTCGTTCCGAGGAGTAGTTTGTCCAGTAAAATAAACTAACAGACTTACTATATATTTATAATCACTAAAATATTTACATACAATACTTGATTGAACAGTGTTCAATATATTGTTTTCAATTAAGCAAATCATTCCCCCTATCAGTTTATCATTCGATACACCGTTTTTGGATGAAATCGAAAAATCCTCAGAAATTAGAAAACCCCCCAAATTAGAAATGGTTTCGGGACATTTTATTTCTAATTTGCGGGGGTGCACTGTACGTTCAATTGTAGCTGTAATTGGTTGCTGTCATTGATAGTTAGACAGTATATTTATATAGGAGTTCCATAGTTCGACATTCAGCGCCAAGATGTCGCTTAAATATAGCATAAACACGTGCTTCATATAAAAACATAGGCAAATTTTATCATCGTGCTAATGAATGAACAAACATAATGCATTATTTCGGTAGCGTGCAAAGCACGACGCTGGCGAAGCAATTGTTTCGGGCGGCAAAATTGGTAAAATTGGAGTTTGCAGTAGATAGAATTGAGTTTTAAAAGTGATGACCTTTTTTTTGCTCTTCAAATTTTGATGTTGGGGCGGCATTTTGATGTTGGGGCGGCAATTTGCTTCGAGCGACAAATTTCCTTTGCACGCCGCCGCATTATTTTAAACTTATTCATTATGACTGTATTGAATACAGTAAGATCAAATAACTGCTTTGCATAATTTTTTAAATGAAATTCGTTTTGAAGTTGAAAAAATTTGTCTATTTTGATAAGTTATGTTCAGTGTCGGCGAGACTGTGTCGCCAATGGCGTGTTGTCGAAGATAATCTTATTATCTAGATAATTCAGATAAGATAAGATATTATCTTTTATCTTATCTAGATAATTTGATAGTAAGAGTGTTTATCTATTATCTTATCTGGGTTTTTTTTAGATAATATTCCAGATAATTCTGAATGCCTTGGTTCCAAAGTGGCGAAACAAAAATGCTATTCAATTCCGAAGTACTTGCCAGAAGAATTGATGTTCCAAATATTAAAATCGTATAGTCGATTTCGATTTACCGTTTAGGGCACAAGAGATTTGCCATTACGGGGCAGAATTGTGATTAGTAATTCACTGAATCCGTCACTTTGTGCGTGAATCACAGATTAAAAAAAATTTCTGGATCAAGATTCATTTTTTTCTGGATCAGAGATTCACTTTATTCTGAATCATTCAGTCAATGACAGATAGCTGAGGATATACAATCCACTCACAAAATTATCTGTACACCTCACGATTTTCATACAAATTGGCGTTTTTCGTGTCTCAAAAAAATATGCTTCGCGAAATCGAACCTCGAAGATTTTTAGTATACTGTAGGTGGAAGGCCTGAAGACCAAAATAGTGAAATTTCAGAATAAAAAATCCACAGGAATTAAAATGGGAGATGATTATGTATTCACAAAATTGTTTGTACACCCAATTTTACATAGACTCTAATGTCAATGAGCTGCGCGATGCATGCATTTATATGTTTTGCTCTTTTCTTTCGATCGACACTGTTCGTACCCAGCTCATTGAAGTCGTTTACAAACGACGGCACAAGCGATACACACACAGACATTGTGTTGACACACGAAGAGTGTTCAAAGAAAGAAGTGAGTGAAACATGTGCATGCACGCTCCGCGCAGCTCATCGTAAGTGTGAAGAGTATAACGAAAGAACAGCTACTCTGTGTGTGCAGAATCGCTATTGCGTATTTATGCGTTTCGTGAACACAACGCGCGAAAAATATCTGTTATTTTTATGCGATATTTTTATACCATATGAATTAAAATATCCAATAGTAATCTCTGATAAATACCCAGGCTTCCGAAACCACCTTACTCAAAAATTGTATACATTTTAAGAAAAGGTTTTTTTTCTACATTTTTCGAATTTTTGATACCAAACTTATTTTTTTGAGGCCAACTTTCGAAAACCGATCTGCGGTTTTGGAAATCTAAAAAAAAATTGGCCAAGTTTCTTGTGTCATGTGTAGACCTCTCATCGTAAATTTTAAAAATGTCGGGAATTTTTGTTGGGAATTGGAAAAAATGTCGGGAATTCATAAAAAAATATCGGGAAAAGTCGGGAAGTCAAAATTGCCTAGCAAAACACAAAATAATCATATATTCATAAAAATATCAAATTCAAAATACACGTATTATCGTTTGTTATCTTTATTTTCATATTCTTTGATGAAGCAAAGTAAAAAAACTCGTGCCTAATTATGATTCATAATTATTGATCGGTGAGGTATCGTAATTTCTCGGCTTTGCCTGTTTTTGCAGTCATTGGTTTATGAGATAAACAATATAAACAAAAACAAAAATACGAACTGCTCAGCAAACGATGAACTACTCTATACAAGTGACAAATAAATTTAAGGTTTTATTAGTCTTTCGCCAATACAGATAATTACTGTGTATTTTTAACGACGGATCATTGTTTAGTCTAACAGAAATCGAAATTCATCGAAACTATACATGTATTCACATGTACGTTTTGCAAATAAGAATATAAGCTGTTACATATAGTATAGTAGTACTGGCGAGCAGAATGAAAATGTTTCATAATTTGACAAAAAAAATGCGCGATTTCTAAATGTAACTTCTATAATTTGACTTGAGTTGTACAATAAATTCTTTGAATCAAATTAACTCAAAAATGTCGGGAAAATGGACTCAAAAACAGAAGAAAAACGGGAATCGGGAATCGCCTCAAAATGTCGGGATTTCCGTGATTTTCCCGACTTTTCCCGGCCGGATGAGAGGTCTAGTCATGTGTGAATAACCGTTCACCCGCCCGCTCACCTGTTCAATTATCATCCATGAAGTGACAAATGCAGTACCTCAACGGGCGAACGGGGATCGTCTGCCCGCTCGCGCAACCGCATACCATCCGTTTGCGCTAATCTGAACGGTTGGACAAACGGGTGCGGTGTTTAATGGCCGTTTACCCGCCCGCCCGCTCAACCGCTGACCATCTGTTAGATAACCGCTTGCGTCAATTTGGACGGGCGGACAGCAAACGGGTGCGGTACATGAACCGGTGTGCTGCCCGCTCGCTGGGGGAGTAATGACCATGAGCCAAATCAAGACGGGCGGGCGGCAAACGGCAGCGGTGCCAAATATATCATCTGCCGTTTACTTGACTGTTTAACCGCCCGCTCGCCCGCTGTTGTCCGTTGTGTGACCGCTTGATAAAATCAGAACGGGCGGACGGCAAACGGGTGCGGTATATGCGCGAGCGGGTTACCCGCTCGCCCGCTCGTTTGCCTGCTCGCCCGGGGAGAAATGTCCATGAGCCAAAAAATCCACATCGAAATGATGCTGTCTATGTCCTCCATATTTGTACTTTGTGCTTACAACAGTTTCGCATTATATTTGTGCTCATTTTGGGTGCGCTTCAAATTATCACGTTAAAAATCGTTTCGAGAATTCTATACGAAATGAGAGCAAATTTGATCAGTTGATTTTTTATAGGCCAAACTGCCTGAATTGAAACCGAATAGTTTGTGTGCACTGCTGCAATCACAATTCGCGACCAATTTGAGCGGCGAAACTTTGTAATGCATAACGAGAATAGAAACGATAATGCAAATAGTTTTAATTAAATAGTGAATGTATAACAAATTGTGCGGTAACAAAGTTCGGGCTTATTCATGCTGGCGGTTTGTCTTTTGATCTTCTACAAATCACTGTTCAGCAATCGTAATCAAAGTTGCACAAATGATTTTTTGCGCGCGCTCTTTCTCGACTCACACGATTCCGATGGGTTTGCTCTAACCCGGCCAAAGTCGGAATTAAGTGTGTTTGGATTAGAATCCAAAAGAGCGTGTTAAGCTCGGAGGCAAAAGATTACAGTCGAAAACTGTTTTCAATCCGCCATTAAAATGGGACTAACTTTTAATATCCTTCGCCATTAAAATCGGTTGTCATAAAAAAACGGCCACTGTTTTAAATCAATGATGCACCTTACTTTCGAGATCAAGTAGCAGTCAATGTTATCGTGAACTGCGCGTAACGCAAAGCAAAGCAAAGCAAAGCGCGTATGGAGGTGCAATTGAAATGTGAAGCCAATTGTTAATGCTGGCGCGTTTGGAAAATGTGTGCAAAAATAGTTTTTGTGATGGGGTTCGGATCATTATTTACCTGTTGAAGAATGAATCGGCTTTGGCGACAGCGCAAATCAAGTACAACACCCTGCTTGAAATCACCGCGCTCGAGCATTTCCGACAACCGGTACGCGTAGACGGAATCCAACTTTTCGTATTCCATATCAATGTTACAGTCATGGCCGGAGGTGGTAAACATTGTCGCGTCAATATTTCCATCACCTTTTATTAAAAAGTTTCCCGAAGCCATCAAGTATTTCACAATTTGTTGAAAATTCAAACAGCAATTTCCATGGCGTTCATGTTTTTGTTTCAATTTTGGCTTATCGTTTTGCATTTGCCGCTCAAGTTTTGCATCGGTTGTCGTCGTCGTCGTCGTCGTCATTGTTGGCAGCGGCGTTGGATCATAATCATAGCGAATTGGTATTGAAACGGATAAACGCGTTGAACTATCATCATCGCAGAGGAAAAGTGTGAGCCGTTTAATGTGTTTGTAAGTTTTGAAAAAGTTCACTATTAAATCAACACTGCTGCTCGGATAGAGAATACCGTTTGCCGTTTGGTCGGTTGAATTTGTTGATTTAATGATTTCGCCGACGGTGAAAGTGGCGCAAAAAATGAGCAGAAATCCACTCCAAATGCTTTGCCGTCGTTTCATATTGTTTTTATCGTTTTGAAAGAAAGCACAACAATTCAATGCTTCGAACCGTTATGATGAATGTAAAGTTTTCAACTGAGGCTCACTTGGGCTAGTTTACGAATGGTGATGGCTTCTTCTTCAAATTTAAGACTCCTTTATCAAATGAAATTGCACATACACGCACACTCACACGTGGGTGTGTGTGTGTGTGTGTATGTGACAACATAGATAACTTGAATCCGGCAATTACAATTTCAAGGACTGCTACTTTCAAACCGATTAATTTCAATAAACCGATCCATAATTGAAGGCATTTTCATATCCTATTTGTCAGTTGAGTGAGTCCCATTGAAATATCGATGAGCATAAGGTAATTGTTGTGGTTGAGAAATTGGCATTGAAAAGTAGCTTCGAACAATACACAGTGTATAACAACAGAGGAGCAAGCAAAAGAGAAGAAGAAAAAAGGAAGAATGAAAGAAAGAAAGAAAGAAAAAAAACAACGAAGCAAGAGAACAAGTCAAGCTGTGCAAACAAAAGACCTCTCATCCCACCCCAGCTTGAACAATAACAGCTAAAGGATAAGACAACGCAAATCCACGTCTATCGAAATGGTTCGTGTGCTGTACACACGCTCTTGCTCTCACCAAATGTATGCAAACACGCACACATATCGCGAATAGTCAAGCACACATGAGAATGTGAGGCGTCATTTTGACATTTATCATTTTGATAGATTGATATGTAATTTCTTATGTAAATTATTCTTCTGAAATGTCACATAGTAAAATGATCATTTTTCATTTTTCATAAGACAGGCAACGTATTCTCCATTCAACCAACCAACCAACCAACCGATATACACCAGCACACATAATCAACAATCAGACACGGCCTACGACTCAAAATAGCACGACGAAAAACGATGAAACAACTTCACTTTTTCTCTCATTCTCTCCATCACACTGTCGGCCGCACGCGCCTTTCGTCTTTCAAAGAGGATGAGCTCGAACCTCAAATGAAGACTATACTTTGCCTGAGTGACATACTCGAACTCTTGAAATTCATGCACGAACATTAAATTTATAAATTTCTTCATGTGTCTTTCTCTCCGTTTTTTTTTTCGTCGATTTTCGAGTGAATAGGAAAAAGGCTTGCAAAGTAACCGAAGAAGAAGAAAAAGAGCAAGAACAAAAAAAAATACTTTATCATCTCTCACTCTTGTATTCGACAAATATTCGTTGTTGATGTTCCGTTTATTGTTTATTCTTCTACACAGCTCCAATTCGCTTGCCAGGCAAGCCAGGCAATAAGAGATTGTTTTCTTTGTGATTTTCGAAAAATGGGCATATGTGTTCGCACTTCAGTTGGCAGGGGATGGGGTGTATTTGCATCCTACGTTTTGGTCGTCGCTCGATTGCGCGCGAAATTTGATGGAACACATCGGCGACGAACAGGAATTTTAAATAAATATTTAAACAAAGAAAAAGAGAGCGAAAAAAAAACGAGAGAAATATGTTTTGTTTCGTTTTCTTTGCCGTTCATTTGACATGTGTGGATGCGTCGCTATGCGAATTTTATTGTTTACATCCATTCCATTCAGATGAGGGATATTCAGGAAATGGATAATAAGTGCAACATTGCTCACGCATGCTAATATGACAAAGCCACACCAAAGGCAGAACAGTTGTAAATTTGATTGCTCCTCTCAAACGGTACACACACGCATACTTTACATGATGCTACCGAATAAATGTACGCAACACCAGCATTGTATTTAGCATGAACGGTATAACATTGTTACGAACATATGCAACATCCCATTGTCTAAAAATATCATGTTCCACACATGTACACTTTTTTGATCGATCGCACACTTTCGGATTAATTTTCAATTGCGTCACAATTTCGATCAAAATCGTCATTTAATATCCCATAGTATGATTACGCATGAAATTATTTATGGTTTAAAATTTTATAAGCTTATCACGGTAATCATGGTTGTTGATGATATCGTGAACTTTTCGTTGAATCGAAACACACATGTTATGGCTTATCAAAAATATGTGTGGAAAAAAAGGCGATAAACCAATGTGCTCCATTTGTATTTTGTTGCTCTAAATGATTGAAATAATTAAATCACTTTCTCAAGAAAAACAACTAAAACAACAAAAACTTCATAATGTCACCTAAATGATGAAGTCAAACATTCGGTTGAACACATTTGAAATTCACATTCGTTTTACGACATGGAATTGCTTGAAGTGCATACAAGCGCCATCTAGTTGAATGACATGAACCTTGACAGCTTTCTAATGCAAGGCAGAATCAATTTAAATCGCAGCATTCTTGGATATTTTTGACAATATTTTTGATATTTTCTTTCGTATGAAAGGGAAAAAAGAACAAAACTTGAATTCGAATCGAAGAAAATCCAAAGAAATTGCTGCACGAAAAGAAAAAAACATTCGACATACAAACACGATTGTGAATGAATAAGTACTGGATGAAAGCGTCCATTTAACGACGCGAACGCCATGAATAATAAGTTCTCCACACTACAGGTATCATCACAAAGTTGACAACGTCAAAAAAAAGCGAAAAACTTCGTCGACGTGTATTCATTTATATATACATTTTCCGAAGCGACTAGATATTGCCGAAAATACAGAAAAATTAGCATAATTTGTCGACAAAAAGGAAATACCTACAACAACGAACGGATGAATCGTGATTAAATTGTTGGCAATTTCAATCGATAAATATCGGAACAGTTCGGTGTGAGTGAGTGTGTCAATGATGATGTGTTGTGGAACATTGACTTGATTCTCGTCTATTGTCTAAGTTTGTTTTTTTTTCTTCACATTTCCGCAAAATATAATAATAAATAAATAAAAATAAACAGAAGAATAAAAAAGCAGACCAACAAACCAGAACATACAAACATTTGTGAAATTAGTTTCGATAATAGTGACATCAAAGATCTTCATTAGGAAATCACAATGACTCTGTTAAGAAATTTAGTATTAGTGATAGTATTTACGATAGTTTTTGGAGATGAACACAATCACTATGTAAGTAGGAAACAAAAGTGAAATGTCCATTCCAAAATTAATTGACATGGCAAAACTGCGGGCATCGACTGTCCGCGCGTTCATGTGTATTTAAAATATGCTTTCGTCACATATACATTTACATTGTGTTTTGGGTTTCTTCATTATTTTCAGTATAATCTAAAGGAAGAGGTGGTGCTGTGGATGAACACAGTTGGACCATATGATAATCGACAAGAGACGTATGCATATTTTTCGTTGCCGTTTTGCCAGGGAGGTAAACAGTCTATTGGCCATTATCATGAAACTCTTAGCGAAGCGTTACAGGGTGTTGAATTGGAGCACAGTGGATATGCCATCGATTTTAGAGGTAAAACCGAACATTCAGTCGCACTGGCGTGTGCGTTTGTGCATGTGTGTATGTAAATCACAATACGGTGTAATTGTTATTGTTTATTTCAATTCTGAAAATCAAATAGAAGACGCAGCCCCGACGGAAATTTGCATGGTTGATTTGGATGAAGAGAAAGTGAAGGCGTTTTCATATGCAGTTAAAAATAATTACTGGTATCAAATGTACATCGATGATTTGCCGATTTGGGGACGGGTCGGTGAACGTGGCGATGATAAAAAGTATCACATTTTTACGCATAAGAAATTCGAGATCGGATATAACAACAATCGCATTGTCGATGTAAAATTGTCAACCGAAAATAAGCAACCACTTGTGCCGGGTACTAAGATCAAATTCACCTACGAAGTTAGTTTCTATCCAAGTTCGGTGGAATTCAAGGACCGATTCAACAAATATTTGGATCCAACATTCTTCCAACACAGAGTAAATTTTTTTTTTCTCGAATCGAATCGGTTTTGTCGAAAATCGATCAATTTCACTGAAGAGTGTCGTGTGTCTTTTTCCTTCAGATTCACTGGTTCAGCATATTCAACAGTTTTATGATGGTGATATTCTTGGTTGGTTTGGTGTCGATGATTTTGATGCGAACGCTTCGCAAGGATTATCAGCGTTACAGCAAAGATGAGGAAATGGACGATATGGAACGCGATTTGGGCGATGAATATGGTTGGAAGCAAGTGCATGGTGACGTATTCCGATCACCGACACACAATATGCTTTTCTCATCGCTCATTGGTACCGGTTATCAATTAACAACTGTTGTATTTTCCGTCATTGTATTCGCAATTCTTGGTGAATTGTATACAGAGTATGTTTCGGTTTCTCCATCTCTCTCTCTTTCTCGAAGCAAAAAAAAAAAAACTCGGTCACAAGTGTTTTTCACAAAATGTTTTCGTTATTTGTTATTTCAGACGGGGATCAATGTTGTCAACGACCATTTTCGTGTATGCAGCCACATCACCAGTGAATGGATACTTTGGCGGTTCACTGTATGCACGTCAGGGTGGCAAAGTGTGGATTCGCCAAATGTTGGTGTCAACATTTTTGGTGCCGACTTTTGTATGCGGCACAGCGTTTTTCATCAATTTCATTGCAATCTATTACCATGCATCGAGAGCCATTCCATTCGGTACGATGGTTGCAGTCACCTGCATTTGTCTGTTCGTCATTTTGCCGTTGAATTTAATTGGCACGGTTGTTGGCCGAAATCTGAATGGTCAACCCGATTTCCCATGCCGTGTGAATGCCGTACCACGGCCCATACCTGAGAAAAAATGGTTCATGGAACCAGCAGTTATCATTTTACTTGGCGGTGTGCTCCCCTTTGGATCCATATTTATCGAAATGTATTTCGTGTTCACATCGTTTTGGGCGTACAAAATCTACTACGTTTATGGATTCATGCTGCTCGTTTTCTCCATTCTAATCGTTGTCACGGTGTGTGTAACAATCGTTTGTACTTATTTCCTGCTGAATGCCGAAGACTACCGATGGCAATGGACGTCGTTCTTGTCAGCCGCATCGACTGCTATTTACGTTTATGTTTATTCATTCTACTATTTCTTCTTTAAAACCAAGTAAATCAATGCATTTTCCATTCTCTTATGACAATTGCGATTTTGACCAAAAAATTTATTGAAATTTTTTTTTCTTCTCTTTGCAGAATGTACGGTTTGTTCCAGACCGCATTTTACTTCGGGTACATGGCATTGTTTAGTGGAGCGCTTGGAATTATTTGCGGCACCGTTGGCTACATCGGAACGAGTTTCTTCGTACGTAAAATTTATTCAAATGTGAAAATCGATTAAAACCACCGCACCGCACCGCACTGCAGTCGCCAGCAATTTGTAAAACATCATGCGTTTATTTTTGTGTAATATTTCGTACATTTACGGTGTTGATTACGTGATCATTATTGAAATATGCTGAAATAGTTCCTTTTGTTAGAAACGAAAATGAGAAGAAAAAAAATATTAACAAAATGAAAGAGCACGAACCAAAATCTCAGGAATGACATTCAAGGCCTGAATATTGTTTCAATTTTTGTATTGAATTTTGTTTTTGGACATATGAACACTGAACTTGTGAAACAATAGCAGCAACTGAATTCTTATATTGACAATTGTTTCCTTCTTTTACTTTCTTCTCTGAAAATTCTTATCATTTACCTTTGCCACATACACACTTACACCCACACCCACACCCAAACACATATCGCTCTGTGCACTGAAGATGTTAAATGCGTGTCTTGCGAGAGAGAAAAAACTGCATTCCAGATCAGAGTCTGATGCTTCATCGAATGTTGGTCGATTTAAAATCGGCAGAACCAAATAAGTGTCTGTCTGTTTTAACAAATCAGAACTTCGACTGAACTTTTGAACGCAATCAATTTAAACATTCAGATTAAACGAGAAAACAAATTGAACCCAAATCACATTGAACAGATTTTTTTCTTCAGTTACACACCAGAGTGTTTATCTTTTTTAAATAGTTTTGATTTTATGCGTTTTTTTTTAAATTATTATCCATTTGCTGCACAAAGATGATGCGCGCAGAAAACCTTCGTTGAAGTCGATTTTTTTTTATCATTTAGAAATGCCAATCGTGATGAATTTATTAAATAAACTGAAAGAGAATGAATTATTATTTTATATTATGTAAAAATCAACAACAAGATAAAACGATCGAGCAAATTTTTCGATATGGACTGAACTGTGTCCGTTGTAACAATAATGAAAGAAGAAAAGAAACAAAAACTAAACCACAATAACATCAACAAAAATAAGAGAGAAAAAAATAGCTAGCAAGTAGCAAATTGATAATTGAATAGGAAGCATAACGAATCAAGTCGAATAGACACACGAAATGATACAACAATTATTAATTATTTAAGTGTATAATTTAATTTTAATATGATATGATTCTGTATGTGCTAAGATTTAAAAAAAAGAATTATTAAATATAAAATAATAAGGACTTGTTGCGTTTTCTTTTCCTTGCATTTATTCAGGATTTTCCAGCTTATTTCCATTCGTATCCAAATGAAGGGGAGAGAGAAAGAAAATATAAATTTATTTAGAAAAAAAAGATGGTAAATTTCTCTAATTGCATGAAAAAGAATGTTGTCCGGGACAACTATTCCCTTGTATCGTGTTTATCAATTAAGCCGTAGTGAGACGAGCGCGATGAGTGTGTCGATGATACAAGGGTCGGTAATATCGATTCATGTCTTTACAGTTTTATTCATGTCAACACATGTTGCTTGCAGATTGTGGCACATATTCATTGTACTAACAAAAAAAAACATTGTAAATTGCTGGCGAACAAACAAAATGACTACCAGTCTAATGATGATTATTGTCAACAGTGTGCAACCGAGGAAATTGGGTGTATGCCATAAAGTGAATCAGAAAAAGAAAACAACGAGCCCGAAATAATCATAAAGTAGAAGAAGAATCAGAACCGGCTCACAACGATATGAACGAATCGAACGACACACTGACAAAATAACAAACACATCAACATTGCACACACGCATACACATGCAAACGACCTAACTACACATATTCTCCCTATGACATTTGTTTACAGTCAGTCTCTTCGACGTCTCACTCACTGTTTATATTCATTTTCGTTCTTTTGCATGCACTCCCCATCATACGAAAAACTCATTTGATGTGGTTCTTTTAATTTTTCGTTCCTTTGTTCACATTAAATTATCCGGAAAAGTATTCGGAAATCGGGTGTCAAATTGTAAATAAGGATTACATCAACGAAATTATAATCTCAAAAATCAACATCGAAATTGCTAAGGGAACATTTGCGTAGCATAAAATTGTGTTCAATAGACAATGAATCTACACAGTAATAAACGTTCGTCATCTGACGACATAAATGAACGTCGAAAACGTCGTCGAACCATTTCAAATGATTTGTACCGAGGTTTGTTTTGGTTTTCATTTCATTTTTTTTTCCGAATTTTTTTTTAAATGATTTTTTGAATATTTTATTGAATTTTTTGTGTTGAATGTGTTCAGGTTTTAGTATTAATGGAACGGAAGACAACAAAGATGCATCGGATTTATCATCAATGTCCTCTGACAGCGATGAAGAAGATGATTCAAATGTGCCAAACGCCTCATCATCTAGTCAATGTGATCGGTGTTCCAAATGCAAATGCGGTATGTTGACACATTTCATTGGTGGCTGCAAAAATACAAGCAAATCAATTTTGTCCTTATTTAGATGAAGTACCAAAACTACTGAAAGTTCACAATGAAGTCCTATCGCTGCTGACTGGTATGTGCAAGTGACGGATTTATTTTGAATGATGGAATTTTCTATTCTAATTGTTTTGTTCTGATTTTGCAGAAATGAAGAAGAAAAACAACGAAATACACAAATCGGTGATGCTTGAGCTACAGATATGTAGGCAAGAAATTATCGAAGAAGTGCAACAGCTAAGGCAAAGTTTCACCCGAATGACTGAACGACTGATACGTCGCAGCAACAATAATAATCAAAATCTAGGCATGCTGGAGTACATGGACGATGACAATGAAACCGAAGAGGCCAGCGATTCAGAAACCTCCCAAGACGAAGACTTTCTGGACGATTTCCTACGATAACTCTCGCCATCTCTATCGCGTTCGCTCTCTACAAAACTGTCGATACATAACAATTTTGCATTTGTCTCCATTGGACAACAACCAAAACACATCCACAGCTCGCTTCAATCTCATTCACATCAAACCGAATGTGCCGTCGATGGAAGCACTGAACAAGTCTCTCGTGTTAAGGATCGTTTTAGGATCTGATTCAGTGAATGTACAGAACTGAAAAAAACCTTTAGGTTATGTTTACACATTCATTTTTATCATAAAATTTTTTTTTCTCATCGTTTGCATCCAATTTTATGTGCCCATTTGTGGATATGATTTTCCGAATGTAATCGTTGTTGAATTCGAATTTTAACCTTATGTCAAGTTTCATTGATTATTCTTCAATAAATTTGTAGTAATTTTAGTGTAATGATATGAACGCACCAAAATTGAGTTATTTTGAAATGTTTCTTTCTCCCCAACGAGAAAACAACGGAGACCAACATGAATGAAGTTGTCTCTCTATTGGCCAATGTGTATAGCTGTTAAGAGCAACAAATTTATTTTCAAAAGAAATTCAAATGAATTTTTTTTCTTCCAGGATTCGAATGTAAATAAACAGAAAAATTAAAAAAAGAATTTTTTTTTTAAATTCAAATAGAAAATTACAAATAGAAAAAGAAAGTCTATTTTATTCGGTCAATAGTATCGTTGTTTGAAAATGATTGCCCGATTGAAATGTCATGTGGATGACAGTTTGACACTAAAACATTAAAAAAGTACGTGGCACCACGTCTGTCTAGACTCGCCGCATCATCATCGTTGATATCGTGTTGTTTTCATTCGGTTTCGCCAAATTGACATTCAATTCTTCAATTTGCTTCCAGCACTAGTTTTGTCGTCGTCACAGAGATCGGCCGCTTTTCGATTCGATTTTATTTGTCTATAAAATTAATTTTTATTCCTAAATAAAAACTACCTCGTTGTTAGTGAACATCTCAATATATCTCAATCATGTCAAAATTATTGTTTGTTTGTGCATTTTCTGCAATTATTTCATTGTCATTCGGTTTGTCGTGCACCAGCCCAACCGTTGAAACGGTGAACACATTCACGACACAAGATGCAACAATCGTTAGCCAAATTGCATTCATCACCGAATTCACATTGAAATGCAGTAACAAAGCCTCAGAAACCTCACCATTGTTCGCTGACGTTGATGGTAAACTTTCACCGGTTGCCCGCATCGGAACTGACAAATTCCAAGTAAGTAATGCAAGTGCTATTGGTCAATGATCGATTTTGCTGGTCATTAGCATAAATCCAAAATGCGAACAATCGTTTTGACTAAAACCTTGATGTTTCGTTTCTAGGTGAGCTGGACTGAAGAAACCAAGAAGGCTAGCCGCGGTGAATATGTCGTTCGTTTGTTCGACGAAGAAGGTTTTGCTGCTGTTCGCAAGGCCCAACGTTCCGGTGCTGACATCGCCTCAATCCCAGCTCTGGCCGAAGTCAGTGTATCACATCCAGGCGCTTTCAACGGACCATACGTGAACTCAGAAATCTTAGCCGCTGGCCTCTCAATTCTCGTTGCCTACGTTGCATTCTCAACAAAGAGCAAACTTCTTTCATAAGGCCATCGCATCGATGGATTATCAAATCATTTGTCACATCAAACACACTCATTCAAATTAATTTAATATCAAGATTGACTTGAATCAAAATGAATCCGATGTTACGAACGTTAGTTTGTCATAGTGCAAAAAATTGAACATTTGTAAAGAAAGAAAAAAAGAGTGAGCAAACAAAAAACCAACAAGCTAAACGAGAGAATAAAATGATTAATTTATGATTAGTCTAGCGTATTTTTTTTCTTAGTTTTTAGTTTTTTGTTGATGAGTGCAAATTGATGGGAAATTATTTCGCTCAACCAAATTCAACCGATGTGCTGAATCAATATTTTCCAACAACAACAGACAAAAATACAAAATGAAAATAATTCGATTGAAAATTGAAGTTTTCTTTTATTAATAATAATTATTAATTTGAATTAAATTTTAATAGACTACACTAACTGCATTTTGCACAGTATCTTTTTTTTTGCATCCTTGTCGATAATAGTTAAAAATTACAATTTTTCTCCTTCGTATAATTTACATCAGCACAACAACAACAAAATAGGCATTAGTATACATATCACATCATAAAAAGTAGTATCATATATCGGAATGGATTGGATATTTTCAATGTTCGATTTTCTTCAGTTTTTCCTTTAAATTCAAAGAGAATTTTAGTTCTTCGTTTTCTGCATGCATCTTATTGTTGCATTTATCTTAATTTTTAATCGACATTTCACATCAATTTGTGGCACAAAAATATAGGGTTAAATTGTATTGTTTCAACAAAATTCGATAGTTTATTTTAAAAATTCGTGTAATTTTTTCCCCAGTTGTTTTGTAATTATTTTTTTGTCTAAAAAAAAGAAGAAGCTTCCATTGATCGATATATTTCGAAAGGTTGAAGGTAACTGCATTCGGATTCTTGTTCGAAGAAAAAAAAACACTAGCCTGAGAGATTGAACTAAACGTAAATTTCTTTTTTCTCGTCCTCTTCCAGACCTTTTTTGGTTAGCGTTGACGGTGCTGACGATGTGATTGGTTGATTTCGTTTCGGCAAACTGGGCGACTCAGTCGATTTTGCTCCAAATGACAATTGCCGTGTCAAACGTGTCGCTTTATTTGATGCTACTGAATTGGTTCGGTTTACTGTACGCATTATATTTGAATCGTTATCATTGAAATCACTGCTACCGTCCTGCCTATCATCCACCGGCACTTCCGTGATTATTGGACCCGTGCTCAGCGGGTGCGTATTTAAGTTCGGTATTGGTGGCGATGAATGGGTGCCAGGCAACACTGTTACTACTTTGATCATACTCGCCGTTGTCGCCGTACTTTCTGTTGGCAGTATACGGGCCAGCGAGGGACTATTGTTTAGTGCTGTAATTAAAAAATAAAAAGGCAAAATTGATGAGCTTTAATTATTTCGGTTTTCCATTGTATTCAAACCACTTACTGTTTCTCCAATCAGCCAGGGCATTTGTGGCTGGCGTTCCAGCTTGTAGCGTACTGTGCGCTGAATTTGAGTCGGATTCCTTGATTGGTGACAAAAATAGCGTGACTGGCGTTGCATTTGGATTCGGTAGATCGGGCAAATTGGCTGGAATTAATGCGACGCCAGTCGTCATACTCATCGGTGCGCCTAGGTGACCGGATGATGTCATCGTTTCGTTAATCATCTCCACCGGCGCTAAATTGAATCGATTATCTTTCTCGTTGCTATTCGATGTGGTTGCATCTGGTGTTGGAATGCGAGCTTGTATTTTCAATTGATAGAACAAAATTTAGCCTCAATTTATTCTCAATTGTTAAATTAATATTTTGTTTGAATGGATTTTGATGGGAGAATGGAGCGAGTGCAGATTTTGTGCGGATAATGAACTTTTTTATTTTTAGAAAAATATTTTCGAATTTTTAGAAATTATGAAAGAAATTGGAAATTCCAAAAATGGTTATTTTTTCAATTATGCAGCTATTAAAAAATATTTTTTAATTTTTTCATGTGGATTTTGTAATCTGATCATTAAAATTAGAAAAAATTATTCATTTTCTCTCTTGATTTTCCACGAAATTATTTGAATTAAAGAAGAATTTTTTTCTAACTACAAAAAATTACTTTCGAAAATCTTGAATGTCGAAAATATTTCCTACAAAAACGATTCAATTACAGAAACGTCCACATTCACAGTTCCTTTGTGCATTATTGCAATTGTTCCAAAGGAATTGCAAACTAAAAAACCAAAATTGAGAATGAATTGACAGTGAAGCTTACAAATACAACGCTGTATTTCTTCAGAAAACAAAAATAGCTCGATTCCCTGAAACTTCACTGAAAACAGCGATTGAAAGATCAACATTTCTGTATGCGAATCGATGTGCTTCTGTGCGATTGTGATCTTTTGCTATGCTCTGGATGGCTTACCTCGTTTCAGCATGTTTTTAAGGTTGCGACCAGATTTTCTTGGGAATTTATCGTACATTTTCATTTTATTATTTATGGATGGTCTCAATTGTTGACCGGGAAGATCGTTGTCGGGACTCGAATAAACGGAATTATGTCGATTTCTTTTGAATGGATAGCCAGATGAATAGGCCGTTGATGAACTGCGCAGTGATCCCATCCGTGTTATCTGTCGACTAAACCAATTCGAACTTTTTCGTCGTTCAGCCATTGGTGTATCGACACTCTCCTGTAAAAAATGCATTGTTTAAATCCATTTTCAAAGCGAATAAAAATCAAACTCAAAGCCAGTCAGTCACTTACATAATCAGCGTACATATCGTCAAAGTTCTGTCGTTTGCTGGGTATAATATTAGCATACATTGCATCAGACGTTTTGACTTTATAAGTTTCGGCGGATCCCTTTGGCTCGTATCGACGATAGTGTTCCGAGGCGACGGTGTACGGTAATTCCGTTGGCACAACCTCTTCCCAATATTGATCTTTCAGCAACTCTGGATGTTCTTCGTGCATTTCATCGACAATCATGTATGATGCCTGCGAATAAAAGAGACGATAGAATTAACTTTAGCAGAAAAAAAAATCATTCTTTTCAATTATGCCGTAAGTGAGTACGTTTAAATTTAACGAAAAATCTTTTTTTAGTTCCATCAAAGAAAGAATTTTCTACAGGAAGATATTTAGATTCATATCACATTTATGTTTAAGAGATCGCAATACAAAAGTTTATAAAAGCATTCAGAAGAAGTGAATAGGAGGTTTTGACTGAGAACTACGCGATGATCATAAATTTCATCAGTTTTTTTTTCTCGCCATTTTCATTTGACGGTGTTCCGGAGGTTATAGCATTATTGAATGTTCAAAACGAAGAGACGCAGAGAGCAAATCAGAAGAAAACGCCGACAAATCGAAAAACTTTCAGTAATCATAGACCATTTGGGTATTCATTTGTGCGAGAGCGAAATATAAATGTGAGTGTGCGAAAATTGTGCATTTCCCGTGTCATAAGTTTGCAAGAAAACCGAGAAACAACTTAATTGTAGGCCCAGTATTGTATGTATTCGTGTGTGTATTTTGTGTGCGTAAGTGTGGGAGAGAGTGTGTGTTTGTATGTGTCTGTATGTGCGCGCTTTTGAACTAAACGACCTATTTCAAATTTCCATTGTATGGTAGGTCTCAACAAGTATTTTGTTGTTGTTGCACTTGTTATGTGCACCAAGCACACGAAAATAAAATAAAGAGAAAAAACAGATTGAAACGAAAATGCAAGTGCTCGTGAAAACATCTACATTCAATTACTAGCTCGAGCTACGACCTTCTGCCACAACTTTAACAAACGAGCTATCTAACTGCAACATTGTGTGCATTTCGAACGTTCAATTTGCCAATTTTACCAGGGCTGAAATATTTCAAAAATGCTGATGTTTGCCGCTTACCTTTTCAGCCCGAGATGCAAAGAGAAGGTGAACAAAAACAAAATACAAAGTGCATTTTCGATGCAAACGAAAAGGTTTGCCGCAAAATGCATGTACTCAAAATTCAATTAAGCCTATTTCTAACGATGGCATTGTGTAATGCATTTACACTTTCGGTTTGAACGATTAACATATTGTTTGGGACACATGTATCTAGTTTTAAATGCACATGGAATCGCACAAAAATGAGTAAATTCATCGCTAATTGGGTGGGAACATCAGTCAGGTCGAAAATAATGAATGAATGAGTGACGAAAACATGTCCAAATCGGTAAAAAAACAATTCAACAATTCGTGTCTTTATCGATGCAAAGGTCAACACATTTTACCCATGCACCAATGTAAGAAACTATCATTTTGAAATCTGGGCGTTTTTCAATTTTGATCTATATACATACAAAAGAGGCAATAGATTTTGGATAGCGCCAACACTCACATACCGATCAATAAATTACATATTGCTCGGTGATAATCGCCAGTCATTTGATTTACGTTTTGAATTTTTGGCACATAATTTTGCAGCCGACAATCGAAAAAGTACGACTGATTGAATCGAGTTAACGCAGGTAATTGTGTGGCATGTATATTATTTCTTGACCGCAATCACCTTTTGGGTCTGTAATAAGCCATGGAGGTATGCGAAACAAAACGATGGAATATCATCGGTTCTGCGCAGTGGAAAAAAAATCGCAATTAATAATTTGATTGATTGATTTGAAAAGGAGGCAATCAACCAGTTGGCTGGTTTCTATCCAAACCAAAATCAAAAGCCTCACAACAATATAATTATTAACATGTAATCATGACTCTTGTGATGTTGAATGAGAAGAAGAAAAAAAAACATTGGAATCATCGAACGAGTGATGATATTTCTCCGTGGTAATTCATACTGTGCACCATTGAGACTTATTCTGTTCTTAAATCAAACCATCTACTCTTCTCTCTCATGGGATATGGCTCTGTCTAAATCACAATGAAGACAAGTTGCTATCGCACATTCCACATACTAATTAATTTCGTACATTGAATTGAAGTGAAGAACCGAATTGCTCTGGATTCACTTATTCGTTTTTGGCTGACTCGTTGGTTAAATTCTCTGAATCTATTCACTCTATAAATATTGAAGAGAAATTATTTGTGGCTTTGGTTGTCTTCACGTTTTTTTTTCGCGAAAACAAACAGAAAATGTAAATGGACAACAACAACACAGGTCCAGTCACTTGTTATGCATATACTATACATGTTATTGGAATCTACATAAATATTGTTATAATAATCCGGAAGGTGTTCACAAAATTTGTAATTCAAAATTACTGTACTCTCTAACATAAAAAAAAGGTTATTTCAAACGGTTTGCAAAATTCACGCGAAACGCAACACTATTGAGCGCTACACGTGTGATTTTCATCGAATTTTTATTCAGATTTTACATTTGTCGTGTCGTTTATTTTTCTCATCTGATTTCATCTGTTTATTCTGTTCGTTATCATTTGGCTGGCAAAATGTCTGAACTGTGTGCAATCGAATGGGATTGAATGAAAATAAATACGGTATGAAATGTGTCATCATCATCATCATGATCACACAGACATGGAATAAACTCTGTTCGCGCACTCATTTATTTACAATGTTTTGTGAATGTTAAATATTTGCAAAAAGTATCAGCACCTTTGGGTTTGTTTCTTCACTTTTTTGTTTGTGTGTATGCTGTACTTCGATTTCAATGAGACAAAACGAAAGAAAGAGAAAAATAGGCTAAATAATGAAACCATTTTGTTTTCTGCCAATGATCCTGATACTCGAATCGGATCTTAGTGTGATATGTAGCCTGTAGAATCTAATCAATATAAAACATTCGCTTATCTAAATACTTCACGGTTTTACGGAGCACGAGCAAATTGTTCTTCAGCAACAACAACAAAAGACGTAAGCTGACGGGAATCCCAGAAATGAATGAGAAGAGGAACCTTGAACAGTAAAAATATGAAGAAAAAAAACCTTTGACTACCTTTTCTGCACCATATTTTTCTTAATTTAGTTTCATGTTTCTTTTTCTCTTCACCGTCGTGAGTCAGACGTATACAAAATATCTCAATACAAAACACGCCAATAAATACTATCTGAACGAATTCCACTTTCAAAACGGCATTTTCAATTGTGGTTCAAATTGGGTTTTATTTTTGTCACAACGTTGTTCGCCGGAATCCAAATTCAATTACGGTGATTGCATTTTTAACGAAAACAAAAGAAGAAAAGAGTCGAGTTTGTTTCGGTCAAACAATGTTCAAACGGCAAATTTATTTCTATTTTCAGCGTGAACGCTGATCTGAAGTAGTTTTCGGGTGGAAAAATAAACATAAAACATATGATAATTCATTTGAAATGTATAGTGGAAAAAAAGACGGAAAAACAAAAAGCACACAACACTTGCGATTATTTCTATGCATACAAATTATGGCGAAAATAGCATCAATATGAATAATGAGCAACACTCATCGCAAAATAAACAAACAAACGAGCGAACGAACGAGCGAACGAATGGAAAAAAAAACACACTACGAAAATTACAATAGCAATAATTAATTCTGTTCAAGCTGAAAGTCTGTTCAGAATATTTATAGAGGAAAAAAAAGATGAAATTGTAGTATCGGTTTGATTTAACGCTCATGCCGAACATACACTACGTTTGGGATAAGTTGTAAACATCATTTTTCTCTTTTCATTCTAATACATAGCATTGCTCTCTCGACGCAACAATTATCACTCGATAGACTTGATTTTTTCTTCAATTTATTGATTTATTGCGAAATCGTTTTTTTTTTCTTGCATTTAACTGACGCGGTTTTATCGCAATTGAATAAAATGCAGAATACCACCTGAATGCTTGGTTCAAACACACACACACATGAATTATTGAAAGACAACAACAAGAAGACGAAAATATCTAAGCTTTGAAACAACTCACTTTTTTTTTCGTGGCTAGTACAGCATAGTAATTGAATGTTCCTTACCTTTATATGACGATCAATCAACCAGTTCAGTTCAATATCGTCATCGTCTTCGCCAAATGGATTGATCAAGACCTCAGCTACTTTCAGCCACCCAACATAGAAGCAAAACTGTAACACATTGACAAGAGAACCAAAAAAAAAGACACACAATTAATGGCATGACGAGAAAAAAAATCATACACGCATACGGTGGTTCAATACAATCTATGAAATCAATCATAATCAACGCACAAAAAGCGTTGCGATTACACAAGTTCATTGAAAGTGGCTGACTCAAATTGGCGTATAAGTGCATTCGCGGGCGTTTCCTTCGTGGTCTTTATCGCATTTAATTGCCAATTGAAAAAATCAATTTGTAAACTGTTTTGTTGCAACAACAAAATGATATACACACAGAGTGTCTACATATATTCTATGCATATTTAATTAATGTCACGTCGAACACGAGACAATCATGACGAAAACAGCAGCAACAACAAAATATTGTTGCATTTGAAGCAGATTGACGATGCTGTCAATTTCACATGGAATTGATTATGAGGCAAAAATGACGCACAAACACGATCGATTAATCGGTTCGGTCGTTTCATTGATCGATGTGAAGCGGATTTCAAAGTAGGCCCGACAACAACGACAACGCATAATATATGTGCGAAATATGTAATCGTTGGCCATATGCACATGACAAACGAAACTAAACACTTAACTACCTTGATGAACTGCGTTAGCTGCGTCGATATTGTTGCTGTGTTGTTGTTTTTGTTGCAACTTCCACTTGTTTACGAATTATAAAGTAATTTAGTTTAGAAAATTAATTAAATCCGCTAATCGATTGAATTCGTGTGTCGAAGCTGCCTGAGCACGCCATATAATTCCATCGCCGTCAAGATTGAAATCTTTCTGTTCTATATATTGTTCTGTGTTCGGTGTGTGTATATATGTATGGTGACGATCTGGGTGTTTTGAACATCAATCATTCCGTTTGCAGCAATAAATGTTTTGTTTGGATATGGCTAATAAAATTAACACTCATTCATTTATTGACTTGATTATATAGCTTCCGTAAAATCATTTCAATAAAAAAGAATTGTCCATATCTTGTGAATGGCATCAAATTTTCTTGGCATTTATTTGTAATTTTTTTTCGTCGTTATTGTCTCCCTCTCTGTTTTACGATATCAGCAATAAAATACATTGAGGCATTGGACAGTATGCATGCGAACCAAGTGAAAACCAGTGTTTCCGTTTCTTTTATCGAAAAAATGCAACGGGTTATTGGTCTCATCCATCGAGTGACCTTCAGTTAGTGTGCTGCATTGCTTTTCTCTCTCTCTCTCTCTCTCTCTCTCTCGCCCTGTGTATTCCTGGTATTTTATTTTAAGAACGAGCGATCGTAACGAAATGAAAGAGAAAAAACTGGTTTAAAACTTTTCGGCAAAGTGTTCCTCTTCCACTTATTACTTAATTTTAGACTTTTGAAATTTCAATAATTTCGTGAATGAAAATGCTGAGAGAGAGAGAGAGACAGAGACAGAGACAGAGAGAGAGAGAGGGAGAGATGAAAAAAGAGAGAAGAAAAAACTGTTTATTGGCTATAATTACATGTATTGACGTAATAATAACATGTAGGTAATCACCACGAATGAGTATCTTACATTATCTTATGTGAAGAATTCTATGTTTTTTTCGTTTGTTCGCTCTCTCCCTTTCCATCGCTTTGTCGGGCATATCGGAATTACATCAGCACTTCCCAGTCTCACATTAAATCTATGTGTGTGTGTGTGTGTGTTCTTCTCATATCGAAGCGTCACACTGAATTTCACAACTGACTAGGCAAAGTGACAAATTGACAAACGAAAGTTCCATTCGAATGATTGCGTTCTCGCATGAAATTATTTGTAGTTTCATTTCCTTCATGATAAAATGAGCGGACAAATAAAGTCATCATCGGAACACAGTGAGTCGTGCGCAATGCAATACCAACAACAATAGCAACCACAACGACGACGACTACGATAAAAGCACACATTCAGCAAAAAAAAATCGAATAGTGAAAAATTCAATATGAACATCCGAACATTCAATGGAAATGTACCCACAAATCAGGTGCATTTAGATAATAACAATGATCGTCGCTGTTATTTTTATTGTTGTTGTTGTAGTTCCTGCTGCTGCTGCTGTTCTGTCCGGCAAACACACGCAGACACGGAGAGAGCGAGAGTATTTAGCGTCAATTCGAACGACGAAAGAGAAAAGACGTAACTCAATTCGACGTTCCATATTTTTCACTTCGTCCACAGTTTCGTGTACTACTATTTAAGTCTATTACCAACAGCTCTTCCAATTCATTTGTGCAAAAAATGTACATAAAGCCTTAAGCAATTTTCTTTACACTGGACGTCAATTATTTTTGCTTGTGTCTAATTTGAAACATGCAATCCGACGAGATAACATTTAGATACAAAGAAAAAAACGAACAAAAAAATCCGTCTCACTTTATTAATACTGTGCGAGTGCGATTCATGCTCGTTTGCTACGACTTAAGCTTCACTTCACTTGTGTCAGTCAGTCACACTTAATAATAATCAATTAAGGATTTTACACAAAAATTTTGTGTCATGTCATGTTCATTGAAAATTCGGCCTTTCATCATTAGATACATGGCCGCAAAATGACGAGCACCACATCGCTCGAACTGCATGCTCCTATATTTATATGAAACGCATCGAAGTGCGCTTACCTGTAATGCTGTGAATAGCGGAAAATACAAATCGGGGTCTTCATATTTTCCAGTCGGAACAGCACCGTCCAGTCTCGGTATCATCTGTCTTCCTAATAATGCGGCAATAAAATACGTATACAGAACTAGAGTGACCACCTAAGAACACACAGAAATGAAAAGAAAAACGAAATGAAATAATCTCCGAAATCAATTGAGAAATCAGATTTCGGTTGACTTTTCTCTTCTTCTTCTTCGGCCTATCGATATATTATCATCGTCATCAACTTACTTGCGTATAAACTAACGGCACACAAACTGTGTCATAGCCGATCAATGCACCCAATCGTCGTCGAATGTCCGACAATTCGACCAATAACGTTTGCACAATGTGATCGGATGCGATGATTTCTTGTTTACGTGCCCGATTTATGATGTTTGTCGCCCATACCAATGGCATCCAGTACTTTGACATTGGACTCTTGCTGTCCATAATTTCAAAGATTTTCTTTTCACTTTCCAACATCAAACCGGCATCGACCAAATGTTGCCACGTTGGAAATCGCCGTTTCACACGCAGCGATATTCTCATCAATGTTATTACGTAAGCCAGCACTGAATACCGCATTATATTACGTCTCATTAATCGGCCAGTTTCATTCTGAAACACAAACACACAAAGAATGAACAAAGAAAAAAGAAGAAGAAAAAAAAACGCAGCAGCAAATCGTTAATTGAACGATCATGGTTAACCTCTGTATTAAAAAAAAAAGGTTTTTTTTCTTGTCGAAATACTGTGAAAAAATAATTAAACTTACGTTTCCTGGAATGGCAGCACTTATGAATAAAGCTAGTGTATCAGGCCATGGCAGCAGTTTATACTGATCCCACCACCGTTTGACTATCAGTGTAACGTAAAAACCCAGCACAAATGACATCGGTATACTTTCGCTCTGCGCGCCAAAATACTGACGAATCTTCTCGAATATTCTGAAATTGAGAGCGTCCAATGGAAAATGAAAGGAAAATCCATTAATTTTGATGCTTCGGCAATGAAATGGAATTGTCGAGAGTGTACTTTCTTAAGTGCTTAAATCGATTTGTTTGCTGATTGCTGTTGGAGGGGGAGGGTCAGTGATCGAAAAATTGAAAAAATTTCCTGAGCTAGTTGAGTGTAGCTTTCAATGGAAAATCTTCGCAAATTCGTTCGATAAAACGAGAAATGTATCGTTTATCTCTTGTTGGTGATAACCGGTGAAAACAAAGGGACGTGTTTTTTGTGGGACAGAACTTGCACATGACTTTGTACGACAAAATAAAGACGATTATGCAACACATTTGCTCAATCATTTGAGTAATAATTGAAAACAAAACACCAAAATCATTGTGCACTTCAAAAACCTATACTAATTGAGCGATTCGAAAAATGTGTAAAAAAAAAGACCGAGCCGAGTATAGAGAAAAAAAGGTGACACAATGGAATGAAAAATCAAATACCAGCCACATTTATACACTAATATAGTTGAGGTGCAAATCATTTGAAAAAATAAGGCGTTCAATATTATGACATGAACAATCACAGAACAAAATCCAGCAATTTTGTTTTGCGTTTAACAACATCCAAATGATTTCAGTTTTTTTTTTTTGCTGTTCGTAATTTTTTCCCCTCTTTGCCAATGCGAATTTTTGACGTTCTCATTCAAACATGATCCGATCCGATAAATTCAAGTGAAATGGAAACCTTGGGATTGCAATTGTGAATTCTTGTGTGAGTACGTGCACAAATCACAATTTTCGTGTCCGAGAGTGTCAGAGCTTTTTTGTTTGTTCTAACAACAACAAATAATATTGCAAAAAGAAAATAGAAAAAAAAATGCATTGATATTGAAATTTGCGCTTCCCCGTGGCTCCGGCAAATGTTCACAAATCAATACAATACCTAAAGTTAGTATAGAAGTACATCTGAAGTTTTTCAAAAAACCTGCAAATAGTTTAGAATATCAAATTAAAAACAAAGAAAAAATGGAGAGTCGAACGAGAACAAATTCGTCGTCAACAAAACATGGCAATTCGAGGGGCTGTTTTATGCTTTTCATTATTAGGCCACGGCGTACGAACAAAGAAAATTCAAAATTGGAATTGAATTGGTTCTCGTTAAAAGAAATTGAGGATTATTTAATGATGCAATGACGAAACGATTTTCCAAGAACAAAAGATTTCAATGCTCGTCATTAGATTGTTTGAAGTAGGTGTGAAGAAATTTGTTTTGAGAAATTGTGTAATTAGCGTTGTGTTCAAATGTCGACGCTTTATGATTGAGCCGTGCCGCTTCATTATAAGACCGAGCAACAATCCTTATCACTTTCATTGTGTGCTTTGTTTTGTTGTTGACGACGATGACGGCGGCATTTCGCAAAGAGAGTGGAAAAAAAAATTGAAAACCTAATTTTAATGTTTTGTTTGTTTTTCCATTGTGATCGATCGAAGCAAGGAAATTGAAGCAACAAAGCTGCTGCTTTCATTATTATCAAAGCAAGAATTGTGACGAATATCGTTCATTTTGCAATAGCATCGATTGCCACATTGAATATTTACTCATTTCTCTCTCTCTCTCTCTCTCTCTCTCTCAAAATGAGTTCACACACCACGACTACCTCTTAGTGCTATGCTTACCTTTTTTGTTCTTCGTTTAGGACGTATCGGTACATGACATTAATTGTATAATATAATGCTAAGTATGCTAATAATTCACGCCATATTAGTTTATAAAGACTGCCTCGCCACCTGTTCAAAGAAGAAGAAAAAAAAAATAAAATTACACAAAAAAACAAAAACAAAAAACTTCCATTTGGATTCATCGTCATTGTCACATATTTCGATTAGAATATTAAATTCTCCGCCCAAGTGAAATTGCGGAGAATTATTGCATTTTTCTCGAAATATCAAACGAAAAGTTTACTCATTTCCTCTATCGAAGAAACGAACAATGATTAGTTGTGAATCAATCAAGATGCATTCATTCAGAGGCCACTCAAAAAAAAAAAAAAACCAAACGAAACGAAATAAAGATATGGGCGATTGCGTGTTTGGTGCAATTTATGAGTTTGCCGCCAAAATCACCTTTTGTGTTAAAAACACGACAGCGATTGAAAAATTAAGTCATTAGTATCATTATTATCATCACACATGCCAAATACGATCATCAAAGACAGCGGTGCACATACTCACACAGAAAATGGCAATGTGCGAACATAACAATGACTCAATTTTGCATGTCCGCCGACGTCATGTGCATGACCATAAATGCATGCGAATGATTGCATTGAAATGTGTGCGCGACATGAGAATCGAATTGAAAAAAAAAGAAAAGAAACACAAACATTTAATCTATCTCTTTCGCTAGAACACCGGGGGAAAAGTAAGCACGAGCGTTCGACTGTATACCATAGTCACGCACAAATTTTTTTAATATAATTCATGTACGGCTTGACATAGAGTGAACCGAATTAAGAAACGTAGAAAAAAGAGTGAAATATTATCGAAATAAATTGGGCTTGAAAACGTTTACTCTATCATTCATGATGCGTGGAATCTGGTTGGTTTGTTTGTTTTTTTTTTGTTTTGTTTTGCTCAGCTCAGTACAGTTTGTGTCACTTTTTTTTCTCTATATATTTCATTTATCTTCGAGTACCATACGGGTTAAATAAACGGCCTATATTCCAAATGACAATTTTGTCATTGTGCATTCACAATGCTGGTTACAGTTAACATTCTTTTATGTTCATTTGCTGCGCACTGCTTGGTTAATGTGTCGTAAAATACACGGCGTAGTAAGTGATAAAAATGCACAAAATCCGGCCTTGAAAATTTGAGCTTCGTCTTAAAATTGGCAATACAGTGAAACGAAAAAAAAAAAAACGAATAATATCCATTCGTTTCGACCTTTTGCATAGGTTGAGCTATGTGAATGGGCAATAAATTGTCAGCGAGCAAGCGAGAGAGAGAAACAAAACTGATTTAAGCTTTCATTTCACCTGCACTGTGTTTTGCCTTGTCGCTGTCTTTTTATCGGTTTTGCACGTATAAAATGGTCGCCTTGCCATCTATCCTCTGTATAATTTGGCACTCATAATTTTGGGCAATACCCATAAATATCACTCATTCTTTTTTTATCGCTCATTCGGTAGCGGTAGAGAAATTATCAGACCGTATCGACCGGAACCATTTAGTAGGTAGCGTATTTTTCGTGCAACTCCATTTCATAGGTCAAGTGAATTCGATGACTCGCCTCCATCGATTTGCTTTTCTTCGTATATTGGGTACAGGTTATTTTCAATTCGAACGAGAATGATCTCTCTCTCTCCCTTTCTCATCGATTCCATTTTGATGTTTGCAAAATCGTTGGCAATTTGACGAGAGAGAAAATGTGATTCACCGACTGATTTCATTTCGTTTGAAAAATGATTTATATCCATGCGCAGACGCGTTGCCTAATGAGAGCGATCTAATCGGCGACGAACCTGTTAGCTGATCACATAAATTTCTCGACTACAAATACGAAAGAGAGATGTTGGATGCGAAACAAAATGGTTTTGATGTTAATTTGTTATTTGCGAACCGGTTTCAGGATATCAAAACGCACAAGTAAATGAGTTCGAAATCGATTGTAGCCGATGCGAAAACGACGAATATTTCAAATTCTTTCACTCAACACGACACAACGAAATAACGACACACGGCGAGCAAATTGCAAATTCCAAAAACTAAATCGGAATTCAATGGTGGTTCAATTACGGGTAAACACGATACGTTCAATGTAACTATTTGAACTTGATCGTTGCTAAAACAAAGCGCATCATCTGAGTAATAATTTGAATTTTTTGTTTCTTACTTTCAAATGAATTAAACCGATTCATATAGGTATGTGTATTCGACACGATCGAGTGTGAAGAGTGAATCGCGCCTAAATTGTGTGGCAAATTCAATTTCAGAGAAAACTACCTGAAAATGTATGAGAAGCGATAGCGATTGGTTATTTCTCTGATGCAACTATGAATCCATGATAAACGAACGGGCGTGAAAAAAACACACACACAATGCGTTGATAATAAAAGTCACGTTTTGTTATTATAATTTTCCGTAGACAAAGCCTTGGCTGGCATTGATATACTCAGAGCATACGGTAGGAGAGCATTTAGTATGTTTATGATGGTCATCGAATCGTTTCGTTTTCTCGTTATTGTAATGGCGCCAAAGTGTATAAAATGGCTTTTTGCTTATACGCGTGTGCGCTTGCGTACCATATATTCATTATCAGTCCGCCGATGATGTGAATTTGATTGTTGTTGCGATAAAAATGTGATTTTTTTTTGTTAGAAAAACGAAGCAGAAAATTAGAGAAAAAAACACACACAACAATATCAGCAAGAAAATCCAATATCACTCATCTCATTACGGGGCATTTTCTACGTCAATCTCAATGAAATTGACTAAAAATTTCGCATCTGCATTAATACACACAAGAGCAGCCCGATTCCGACAATCGATGTCTGTGATTCATTGCAAAGATAAATAGAAAAAAAATGGACAACAATTGGCATAGTATATACTACAGCGCGCATCACATAATACACTAATTTCAATTGGTTTTTTTTTTCTATCGTTCCCTCTCTCTCTCTCTCTCTCTCTCTCTCTCGATATTTGTGTCCAACGATTGAGTGAAGCGAGTGACAGCAAGCGATTACAGCTGTTGGGCACATTTCGTTTGTCAAACGATATATTGCATATCATTTGATATGCATGGTCTCTGGCCCATGTCCACTTCCATTTCATACAGCGCACACACATTTTCCCAATAAAATGCTACACCCGATCCGTTGTTGATGTTTTTTTTTCGCTCCACAGATGAGAACCCATCTCGACGCACATAACAGAAACAGATCGAAATGAGAGGGAAAAAAAAGCACACACACACACACAAAATAATGTCAACCAAACACATTCTTTGTTTACTTTACCATATATCCGTTTCGTTTGCTCAGTTCATCGTTATTCGTTGTCTCTTTTGTCATTTGTCGTTTTTGTTTTTCTCATTCATTTGAAACAAATAAATTCATCGGCACAGTAGAAATACATCTGATTTTCGTTCGATTGTTATTTCGTGTATTTACCATCGCAATCGATGCAATTGTATAGTAAGTTTTCGGTTTTCGAAAACATTTTGGCATCGTTACGATATTGTCGTACACATAGACGTGTTCATCATTGCCAACTTGGCCATTTAACGAGGTAAATATGCGATAATCTTTTCAGGTCTTTAAATTTTTAAAATAACGCACATTTTTCGATTTCTTTTCGATTCTGTTCGGTAACAATGTAACAGCGAAATTCTGTCACGTAGGTGCTCAATTGGTCGTGCAAAAGATCGAACAAAACAATTGGAACAAAACGAATGAAATTAAAATCAACACCGAATATCTGGTTTCGATGTGGCACACAGAATGCTTTGCAATGGATTTTTCTTTTCCACTCTTATCAATTCTTAAAGCTATTCAAATTGAGTTTAAATATACGAAAAAAAGTAGAAAAACCAAAAACAATACTTACTTCCATAGGATTTTCCAAAAACAACCAAAACTACTGCCGTTCGGCACTTCGCCCGCATATGACACAGTCATTGTTTTATTTGTAAATTATCAACTATGTTTGGCTAATTGTAATGTCTTTGATCACACAACACTTTTTTTTGGGCTATCGTTTTGTTTTCTTCGGTTGTTGTTGGTTCGTGCGATGTATTGATTGAATTTTAAATTAATTTTCCTTGTTATGTGAATGGCAATGAATTTTGAGTCAATTCAGTTTTGTTTTTATTTTTTCATCACTGCATTTTACTTCGCTGAGGAGAAAAAAAAATCATTGACATTAGACGAACGCAAATGAAACGAATCGACAACGGCGAACAGGAATAAATTGGAGCATTTCACTGTTGCAAGAATGCAAAGAAACAAACAAAAAATGTGACTTCAAGCTAAACAACGATGATAATTTTGTGCTATCCTTGATTTATTTATTTTTCTTGTCTGTAAATAGACTACATCGATATATTTATATCATTTTTTTTCTCTCTGTTCGTTCGCTTCTCCGAGACGAATTCCAATCCGTAATGCGATCAAAACAAGTGTAAACGTCCTCAATGGGTGAGTCGCATTGCTGATTGGCGCTGATGTGGTTGTGTTGCTGCTTATTTTTTTAATGATATGCCCGTGCGTTTATTATACGATAAATCCGTAATGACAACAAATATTAATCAATCGAATGTCCAGGCAACTCATTGTCATTGCGGTTATTTTGGTTTCAAGATACGTTTGTAATTTGAGCTTTGCTTAGCACCTTTTAATTTGGTATCGTTTGTGGTTTATAGTTTATGATTTTTTTATCGCTTATTCTCTCTGTCACTATTAATTTCGAGATTTTAGTTGCTTGTCAGCCAAGCGAAATAAGAACACGTCCAAAATGGGAATCACGTCGAATCACTTGTCACAGGCGCACAAAAACAATGACCAAAAAAAAACAGCAATACGAGTAGCCGAAATCATACTTCGCCAATGAATATTGTCTGTGACCAATGACGACGACGACTTTGCTTATCGTTTTCAAATGAAGTTGAACTGAAAAAGTTTTGTCTAGCCCAGCAAAAAAGAGAAAAAAAAGAAGAAGAAAAAACAAAAGCAACCGTTTTGCCAACAGCACGAATCTTATTTACGACGTGATAACATTCAATTCTTTGAAACTGGAAAGCAGAAGGCAGTTGAAACAAGAAGAAAAAAAACGACGAGTAATAATAAATACAAACGAAACAAATACAAAAATATGTGCGTTTTTTTTATATTGTTGTTGTGAATAGGGCATATTCTCGGTGATATGTTTCCATTTGATTGACGTGCGCGCGCGCGGGCGCGAACACATATCTCGAAAATCAAACAACATTACAGCACGATTGGTTTAAATAAATGTCAGGTGATTCCAATTTAGAATGCTTTTCGCGTTTGTCTTCGTTTTGGCAATTTCAATTTTTCGTTTTTCGTTCAATATTTTTTTTTTTCATTTCGATCGTCGTCGTTGTCTCCCATGGTTTCGCTGGCTTATTCGGTTTTTTGTTCAAAAATGTTTATGTAAATACGAAATCGTTGCAATTTTTGGCATAAATCATATTAACATGATTTCGCACTGATTTATTGTCCATTTAATTGAAATGTGAGAGGAACGGTGTTCGATTTCGGCGTTGTTGCTAAGCTGAACATGAATGTGTATTTCTTTTTCCTTCGTTGTGAATGTATTGAAACGAGTTGGGCATTGAACGGATCCGAAACTACGGAGTGCAGCAAATGTGAAAGAAAGCATATAGTTGAAGAATCCCTTAGCTAATTACTGCGATTTGTTGTGTACCCAAAAAGTGGCGTTGACACATACACACACAGTGTTTATTGTTTTCTGTTTGTTTTTTTTTTCGAAGAGAAAGAAAAAAGCTTTTTTTCCACAATCATCGTTTTGTTTTTGTGTGATTTTTCTTTCATTTTGCGATCTTGCGAATCATTTTAAGGCTGCTTCGTTTTGTTTTGTTTTCTCCCTTAAAAAAAATTGTGTTTTTGGTTCTTATCGCTATTGTTTTGTACTTTTATTTATATATAATAAAAAGGTTCTTTTTCTTCATCGTCGTCGATTCGTTTCATTTGCATTTGTAGTCATGTGCAATTTTTACACATGATGCGCTCGCGCTCACACAGCACACCGTACACCGCAAACACTTTTGACTAGAAATAAGTACCTGTAGTGGCTATTTTGAATGTTTTTTATTTTCCTTCGTTTTATTTATTGCCCGAGCTATTCGTAAGCAATGTTTTTAATCGTTACTTTTTCTCCGTTTTGCACTGTTTAGTGGCTTTACGTGCTTTTCCCGAACACAAATGTTGCCTCTTTAGTTATTTGTTTGTTTGTTTTTTTTTCTTTCTTTCCCGCGTATCACACAATATTACATTCATATACTGTATTTAAGAACTGCAACGAGTGAGAGCGACTCTATCGAAATCGTTTGCACTTTAACAATTTGCATTCTCTTTTGTGTGTTTTGATGTTGTTGCTGTTGCTGTTGCTGCTGTAGCTGTGTTTTGTTTCATCTTCAACAAGTGAGAACAATTATAATAGTTTGTCGATTTTTGTTGTTTGAATTCACCCTTGAATTCATCACCATGCGATGAGTGTTCGACACATACACACACACAAGGAGAGAGAGAGAGAGCATCGATTGAACTTGAATGTTGATATTGATTCAAAGCATAGAATGGCTCTTCCGTTACTATTTTATTCATCACATTCGGCCATTAAATGCACATGCTGAGCGCACCTTAGCCGAGACACACGTAACACACTTCTTCAACAGGTACACATAACACTGATTCGCACCTAGTCTTGCAGGCCATATGACAATCGAAGCGAGAAAATTCTAGATCAGATGCATTAGACGAACTACAACCAAATCCATACTCTTCGAATGCGCGCTGAAAGCGGATTTCTTTTTGCCTGTATCAATATCGACTGATTTTCAAATGGCACACAATTATGTAATGATCAACCACTTCCGATACGGCACAAACACAAAACAAACGACAACAGCAGCAGCAGCAGCGGTGACGGAAACGGCGGTTGCGACTATAAAACGGGCATTATTTAAATTATATTGCCGTAAATCTTATCAATTGCTGCTGAATTGTCACACTTTCTATTAAAAGCCAAGAAGTTAGCCTCAGAAATGGCAACGAAATAAAAATAAAAAATTCGCCCAACCACTGACCAATCGAGTTACAAATTCTCCGAAAAAAAAACAAATTTGAACACGATTTATTCAAAATTGAAATAACTTTATCACCACGTTTAAATCGTAAAAAAGCGCTACAAAACACTTGCGAATGGAAAAAACGAAGCAACCGCTTGGGATATCTCTGCAAATCTGAATGTGTGTCCGTCTATTTTCTTTTTCTCATCATTTTTTTTTTTGTTATTTCCACCAAATTTTCATTCTCGATTTAACCAATTTCGAAGAAATGCACGTGAATTGAAAAAAAAGCCCACAAAGAAAACTAATCAACTACTTTTTTTTCAAAAATTTTCTCTTTCATCAATGAACTTAGCGGTAAATAATTTTTCTTTTGTTAACTGAATTTAAATTTTAAACTAAAATGGAATTTTTATACGAAATTTTGTAGAAAAAAAAGAAGCGATTTTTGATGTCGATAAAATTGAAATTAATTCATTGTCAAAAAGATAAATGTGATTCGAAACAAAAAATAGTCATTTAAGCACCGTATCGGTTGGTGTTGCCGTCGTTGTCGTCGTTGCGAAGACAGAATCATCAATACTAGTTGCAAAACAGCTTTCCGATAATCATTAAACCTGATGTATTTTTTGAACTGTTTATGATCGATGTAAGTATTTGTGCATGCGTATTTGTATACGATCTGTGTGGCTGAACGTTGTTGCTGTTGTTGTTTTTTTTTCTCTTCTCTCGGCCGATTTCTATTTTCTCTCTCTTTTACCACAGTCCTTCTTTGTCATGCGTTTCGGGCTCTGGTCGTTGTGGCCGTCGTCGGCGGCGACGGTGTGTATATCGTGTGTTTTTATGTTTATGTGTGAAAAGGCATGCAGTCGATTCCAATCACATATGTTGTTGATGTTGTGCATGTGCACGAGTATTTGTTATAGGTGCTGTGTGTTTCAGGTGTTTTTTTTCCTCTCCGCTTTATGCATGTGATTTGATCGTTTATTTCAATTTTCCATCCCACCACAAGAAAAAAAATCCGCGCCTATGTATTCCATACACAACGCGATCGGATCGGTGCGCTATAACATACACACCTTAGCATTTGGCTACACCGTGCCGCACATAATGAGGCATAACACCAACAAAACAAACCATACTCAACCTAGAATCTCGGCAGCTTTTCTATCAGTACAAATCATGAGCATTTTTCATCTACAACCTCACACATTTTTGCGCTCACAACATTCTTTTCTTCTATTCTACAAGACTACAAGTTTATTCGAATTAACATTGAGATTGGAATTTTTTTGATTTTCAAAACCAATTTTTTTCCATAGGCTTTGAACTTTTTACGAAGCGTTGAATTTAATCAATGGGACGTTGACTAAGCATCGTTCAGCATTATCGGCATTCTTCTCGCAAAAAAGCCATTGATAACACTTATGCTTCAGCATAGTGTGGAAAACAGACTGCGTTCATGGAGAAGCGGATAGCATAACTTTAGGCGATAAATATTCACTTTTTTTGCGGTTGCTGTGCTGCAGGCGCTTTCATTCCAGTGTGAGTGTGTTTCCAGAGTATTTGCCTGGAAAATGTAAATGAATCACATGTTGTTGTTGTTATGAAATCAAAACAGCTGTTTTGCTCAATTACTTTTTATTGGATTTTGTGTTTGTGTGCATTTTTATAATGTTGATACGGTGCCAGTAAAGAGTTACCATCATCTATTTAATCTAATGAACATTTTTGTTCCATTTGTTTTCTTTTATTTCACTAACAACAATATCTATATTGACTTATTATGCTACTTCCACACCGAATTTGCCATGGAAATGCCAAGAATTTCAACATTTTACTAGACTTTTGATTCATTTTCTAGATTGTTCTGTTTGTTTTCGTTCTAATCACATCGAAATATGTGAATCCGATTGATAAACGATTCATCAGATTGGATGAAGACATGAACATGCATTTTCTGAATTAGATTATCTAAAGTGTATGTGTATGTGTATATACGTGACTGTGTGTGTGTTTTGGTGTGATTAAAAACCAATCCATTCACATGGTTCAATTGTTTTTTTTAGCTTTACTTTACATTACTTTTGACTAATAGTCGCTCGTATTTTTCTTTAACTGGTTTGAGGTAGATTGTGTCAATTTTTGAGTTTGTCCGAATTTCAGTAATTTAAAAATTTTGGCAAAAATTTCATCTAATTACTTCGAATTCCACATCTCATTAAAATGCCAATTCATAAAGTGAAAAACATACAATAAATCATCGTTACTTCTTCTTCTTCTTCTTTTTTGCTTGTTCAAATTGAGACAAGTATTCATTAATACATACCAATTTCTAATCAATGTAAAAGTGTTCAATTAATTTAAGTTTTTTTTTTGTTTGGTTTTATTATTATTATTTGCATGAAGGAAAACACTCGTTCGACGAGCATGCAGAAAATTTAATCTAATTATCTCATATATGCAATTTAGGGCTTTCCATTTTAATGCTTATCAATTCGTAAAATTACATCGTATTCAATAGCTTATCTTACTAGATAAGTAGGGATCGATAAATAAATTATTAATATTCCAATGTGTAAATGTTGATAGGGATTTTTTGTTGTTGTTTTTTTTTCTTCTCTTTTTTTCTTAATGGATTGAGTGGTGGTTTTAGTCTAGGTTCGTATGTGACAAATGTAAATTGTTTTGGTAAATGTGGACGATTTACCATTTGAGACCTTGTTGAACTTGGTGCATTAATGCAGCCGATTTTTGCAATTGTTCCGTTTCAGCTTCGGTGAGAATCTGCTTGACGATATGTGACACACCGTTGGCGTTCAAAACGCATGGCAATGACAAGTAAACTGGCTCCTTGATTCCATGTTCACCCTGAAATATGACATACGATTACACAATATTCTATGAAAATTTCACAAGAATCTTCAGCTGGCTACAAATGCTTTGCTATTTGTCATAGCTTCCAATTCGATGAGCCATTTTTTTCATAATTCGGAACCAGCATTCAAAAAATGAACCAATATTACATCTACAGTCAAACAAATCAACATTTTTATTTTCGATCTACTGAGACCAAAAGGAAACAATTCTACGTGTTTGTACCTGCTGCAATTAGATTCCATAAAGTGGACACCGATATAGAGCGAAAATGAAATGCATTTCACGCGAAAAAAGAAATAAATACGTAGAAATGTACAGAAAAAATAGTGCAAGTTATAATAATTATTGTGCAACACATTGAATGCGAGCCAAGGTTTTCAGAAGAAATGGAATCGATTTGGAACCGTTCTGAATGCAGTGAAATTCAAAGAGAAGTGTGAAATGATATTTTTGTGATTGAGAAGAAAAAATCGTGGACTTACATTGACCAAGGTGGAAACGGCATGCACATTGTTGGTGTTACGTAAAATGGACGAAGTGAGTGCGGCAACACTCAAGCCAATTGCCCATGAAGTGTATCCCTTCAATTTGATTACTTCATAAGCACTGTTCACAACCTCTGTGTGCAATTCATTCCATTTCTCTGGGTCGGCGGCAGTGCCAACCTGTGGATTTAATTCACGTAAACGCACACCAGCGACATTGACACCCGACCAAACGGGAACTGCAGAAGAAGAAGAAGAAAAATGACAACGATGTTGCATCAACATTTTGAAATATGACGATGATGTGATGAAATCAACACAAAACTTACCGCTTGAGTCACCGTGTTCGCCAATGATCCAGCCGTGGCATGAGGTTGGAGCAATGTTCAGACGTTGACTCATAAGGAAACGTAAACGCGACGAATCCAAATTGGTGCCCGAACCAATGACACGGTTCTTTGGCAAACCGCTCAATTTCCAGGCAACATAGGTCAAAATGTCTACGGGATTCGAAACAACCAATAAAATGGTGTTTGGACTGTATTCAACCAATTTTGGGATGATGCCCTTGAAAATGTCAGTGTTACGCTGAACCAAATCCAATCGGCTCTCGCCTGGACGTTGACGAGCACCGGCAGTAATGATGCACAAACGTGAACCCGCACTCACCGAAAAGTCTAGAAACCACACAAACAATTTTGCAGTTGAATGCGATTGGCGAGAAGATTTATTTGTAATTTGATGATAATTAAATTATTGACCGAAAATGTTCAAAGTTCAAACGGTAACAAAAAAAAAAGAGAAGACGTTTATTATTAACATACCGGTATCGGCATGGATTTTGGCATTTTTAATGAATGCGGATCCATGTTGCAAATCCATAAGTTCGCCTTGGAGTTTATCGACGGCTACGTCAATCAAAGCCAATTCACTTGAAACATTCTGCCGATTTTTCGGGAACATTTTGTTAAATATTCATTTGAATTCGGTTTGTAAACAAAATATTCTTTAATTTTATATCGAAACGTTTTATCGTACCTGTGTCAAAATACTGAATGCACAAGCCATACCGACTTGGCCAATACCAACGACGGTCACTTTGTTGACAGATGATGGCTCACTTTCTGCCACTTCAGAAAATAGTTGCTCCTTAATTGATGCCATCTATTCAGAATAGGAATGAGAATGGGAAAGAAAAAGAAATAATTACGGTATGATTCACACCATGAACTCATTTTTGATTTATACTATTAGTCATTTTGTCGCTATTTCGTTATCTGAAGAATATGATTGGAAAGAAAGCACCGCAAAAAAAACCAATTGCGTTCACACGCGATCGAATTGCACATGACCCAACGGCGGTGATGGTCGTCGTCGACGTTGTCGTCATTCATTCAACAATTGTGGGAGTACTTACAATCAAGCAATGGAGAGATAGAAGAGATATGCTCTCACTGTTGCGAGCGTGTGCGAGGTTTTTTTTTCTCTCTCTCTCTCTCTCAACTTTCGTCACTGTCGTTGCCGTCGTCGCCGTCGTCTACGTCCACCGAGACGCGAGACAACGTATATATAGAAGGAGTCTATTGCCGGTTCTATGTACGAGCTTGTGCTCGGATGGAACGCACAAACAGATGGCACAGTGAATTTATTTAACCTTGCGTAAGGTCAATCGCATGATACTAATCAAAACAAGCTCCAGTTTTTTCATTGTCAACGCAACTTTTTTACATCGACTTCAATTTCAACGACTAGATGCTGAAAACTATTTTCAAACTGCATCTTACAGGCCATGAATAGTGAAAGTGAAACGGTAGGTATTCGAAGCTAAAATCGATATGTCTTATCGGAAAAGCGAAAAGAAGAAAAAAAATGTGTATGTATATGATTGCTGGTGACGCGATATCAATGTAATGCAATCAAATAGACGGCGATAGACGAAAATAACTGCTCCCACACACTACAAATACATTTTATACGCATTAAAATGCATACCATGTAATGTGATACCAATCATTTCTAATAAAGTTTCACTAACGATTGATATTTTTGGCAACGTTTCGGGTTCATTGCACCCTCAGACTGTCTTTCTCGCATTTCCGAACGGCGAAAGTGTTTCGATTACATGCACAGGGTACACTTTATTCAAAAAGTCTGAATTAAAACTAATCAAACTTGATATTCACTGGTGTTCTTCAATCGAGAAGGTAAAAAAAAAACAAAAGATGAAAAGATAATTCAAACGAAATGTTTCGCTTTCGAATGAAATACGCGAAAAAAAAAAACAAAAGAAATCCAATGAAACACTTACATTTGTTCTCTTCGATTGTTCCACAAAATAAAAAAACCCAGACAAAAATGACTGAACTTGAAATGACACTTGAATAAATGCCCTAACTTTCGATTTAAAAAAGAAATTGTTCAACGCGGAAGAGCAGAAAAAATGTGTGTGGTTTCTGCTCGAAAGTCACAACGAATATGAACTTTGTATTGCCTTAGCACAATCGATGCGGTTGGCTAGTTTGTATCGAATGAATACGAATATTTGCTGACGGATCGTGTGCCTCAAGTATATATATACATATGTGCACCGGCATTTCATATTTTGAAGGTGACCTTACATCATCCATTACTCTCTTCTTCTCAATGTTGTTGTTTCCACCGAAATTTCGTTCCGTGCATGTTCAATGTTCAATTGTTTAAGCCAAACATATACTTCGAATCGCTTTTCTCACGGCTCTCTTTCGCTCAAACGCTCTCCAATACACGCACACATCACAACAACAATAGCCTCGTATTCCGTTTAAGCAAATGACATTTCTCTCTTTATCTCTCTTGTACATACACACACTCTCTCTCTCTCTCTGCTTGTGTGCGCATGTGTGATAAATTTCGTTAGCTCAACACATTCGCGTGTGTGTTGTACGTGAGCTGTAATAGCGAACGCACAAAAACTCAAAACGTGACGAATGTACTGTAGCCCGTCTGGCTCTTGTGGATAAAGCGACAAAGCGACAACAGACATGAACAGCAAAAGATGTATATTCCCATATAATTACAACATTCACCGAAAATGTTGCAGCATTGTTGCGCCCAAAATTCATGTTATCGATGAACGTGCGGCACGTTGACCATTTCACAACCATTTACCGTTGGTTGGCTGAGATTTTCAAACAGTACGCTTATTGTACGAACAATGAATTGTTGTATAGACATTTATGTGTATTTTTAGAATTTACAACGAATTCAATTTACACAGCTGGATTAATTACGTTCGCGTAATGAGCTCATTTTTAAATATACAACCTTTTCAATAAAATATTGGTATATTGGCATTGAACATTGACGTTTGTATCGATAATACCTTATGTTAATACTTTATTGGAGTTTGCTTGGTCAATGGTAAGCTATGTTTTAGTCGCTCTATTTAACGAATACAACTAATGCTAGTGGCTTTATTTATTATCGGCCAAAACAAAGACCACTCATGTCATTCGTTTCCAATTGATTTACATGAAAATGTTCGGTTTAGCATCGAGTTGAAATTTCTATACCAAAATCAATAGCAACTCCTGCCAATTTCGCAATCTAGTATGTCCTCCATGAAGGACATTTTCTTAAATGGAAAACCGTTTTCTTCCTCTTAAGACGATACATCTTACCGTTGATGGACGAAGAGATGGCAAAAGAAAAAGGATGCAACGAATCGCTCGTAGGATCAAAATAGAGCACACACACACACACACATGCACAAAAAATGTATTTTACATGAATAGAGATTTCTAAAAGATAGCGATATCAGAATATTTACCCCGTTTTTGACGAACACAAAAGCACAATTAAGACTTTTATCTACATTCTACATTGAAAAAATTACGTGTACACAATGGCTTGCAAAATTAGTGCATGTCACGATGTTTGCATTTTATCAGGATGCAGCTGGATTGATGATGTTCCAGTTTAATCCACATTTCAGCCTTTTACCATCCATTTTGCCCGGTGTGATTTGTTATTTCCTCTATCCGGTTTCAGAAAAACTATGACACAAATACCGTATGGAACAAAAACTAAAGAGTGACAGAGTGAGAAAGAGAGGAAAACGTCTACTAGGCACAATTTTTTTTTTCATCCTCTCTCTTCACAGTTACAAAGCTTAACTTAAGCGTAAATGATGCTGCAAAAAAAAAATCTCATGCACATTAGACCAAAAGACTTTGTGTGTCATCTCAAAATAGTTTTTCTTCGTTTTTTTTTTGTTTGATTTCATGCTGGATTTTTGTGTGTGACAGTGTGAACTCTTTTGACAAAATGAAATTGCTCTTAGTTAGTTAAAGTTTGTGTTTTCTTTGTGTTTTCACCATGTTTTTTATTCGTTGGAAAACTGGGTTTTTTCCTCAAGTGCCTGAATTTGTTACACCAACGTAAGGAGTAGCAATCAAAAAGCAGCTGTTTGTTTTGATTAAAGCTCATGATAAAATCCGTCTTTGACCTATCGTCAAATTGTACTAATTTCCTATTTTTAGCGTTTTTTTTTACAGATTTTCGCCGCTCGCTGTTGATGATGAGGCGCTGTTGATTCGTTTATTTCAAAATCAACAAACACAAACACTTACATTGCATATCCTGAAAACTATTAATCGCGAGCGGTACAAAACGCTATCGTTGTGAACCATAAATTCAACAGTCTGTAAGTGGATAAAACGATTCTTGAAAAAGATTTTTTCAAAAAGATATTCAGACACTTGTGGCATTTTAAGAATAATCCAAACATCTTACTTTGCCACAAATATTCTCAAGCAATAATCCACTCTGGTTTTCATCTTTTCTCACTTGAGCGCTCGCGCGTTCTTCGCCGTTTCTAGCTGAATCAAATTCTTAAATAATGAATTTCGGCATCTTCATTTTGATTTCGTTGCCTTCATTCATTTTAACGTTCTCTTCGCAGATATTTTCAATTCTCTCTACGGTTTTCTTGGCAATAACACGTTTCTTAGTCAATCTTTCAACCAAATTTTATGCAATATACGGACTTGAATGCATTTACACTCGAAATTAATTTCACTTAAATCGTGTACTTAAAAAAAACCATTCAACTTTGCTCTCACCGATTTTTTTTTTAAAAAGACGTTGAAGTAGCACTTAATTTGACTTTTAAATTGTTTGTGGCTTAAATTTACAAGTTAATACCTTATAATGGAAATGAATGCGGGAGAAGACGTCAAACAATGGTTTTAAATCGAAGGTTTGTCAAAATTGTAAAAGTCTCGTGTTTTGCTGTGAACAAAACAGTTTGGACAGTAGCTCTTATGATTTACGAGATTTGAATCGATCTCATAATAATGTTTGAAATTACATGAACGTCTCATTCATTCAGATTCCCAAAATGTTGGCCATTCAAGTGATAATTTATGAATTGCTGCATTGGTACGAAAGCAAATACAAAGTACAGAACTTGACCAGCTCAACATTTCTACTAAATCTTATCAGTTCAACACCTCAACAATATATTTGCTTGACAAACACTTTCATCTTCATATTACGAAGATATTATTCACTTTTATGACTCATGTGTAATACTCAACCGAATGGTCGTGTTAATTGGAAAGCAAAGAATCAGTAACTGATTGAGCCTCAATTATATAACTATTCTCATTCAGTGAATTCTCAACACATCACATGAGTGTATAATTTACTTTTGACCAGTCGAAACTTGAAAATAAATTAATTATCGCTATTTCAAAAAAGCGGCTTGAACCTGAGTTCATTTCTTGCCGAAATGTTACAAACACATCTTCCGGCCTTTTTTTCACTTCAATTTACTGACGTCAAAATGATGGAAATATCAGTCATGAACATCAATATAATGTTTATAGACATTAAATAGCTTTGCTCGTTCGCTGTTTTTTTTTCATATAAATAGGGAGTTCATCGGAAGACAACGCTTCAATTTGATTGCTTTTTAAAATCGCCCGAATGTAGGCAATTGTACAGGAAATGTTACGCATTTTCGAAATTCGCATATTCGCTGTCGAACGAAATAGATGACTGCAAAAGAGAAATATATTTTGAAACAATAAATAATTGTTTCACCAACGTTCTAAAACGAAAAAAAAAACAGCAGCGGAGGTTGTGGTTCCCAAAAAGTCGATTTTTTTCCAGTTTGGCTTCATTCGCCCGGTGTCAACCAGAACAACGGTTAGAAGTCATCGCTGTGCATGTAGTGTGATATTTCTTTTTTCGTTGCAAACGAAACATTCTTCAAACTGGGACCCGCATATTTATGCATTAAATCAAAACCAATTTTATTCGGGATTTAAATTTTGTGTGTTCGTTACATTGCAAACCGTTGCTTTTGCACACAATAAACAATCATTTCACTTGGAAAATCATATGGCTATGCAAAAAAAGAGAGAAATGTGCAAAAGAGATTTTTGCAGTAGATTACCTTCGACTGGGCTTTCATTTCAGGCCAAAGCAAACTGAATCTGTAAGCGATAGTTTTATCCAAAGAACACTAACAGCAAATAAGCCGAGCGAGCAGCAAGCAACAGAGAAAGAGAGATATAGAGAATGAAACACAATGACGAATAGTGAAAATGTACGATAGAAAGAAAACGGCCGCATCGATAGTGGTGTTTTTTTTTTCTTCTTTATTTGAGCTCAATTCAGCTTTCTTGTCCAACAAACAGAATATATGCGATCAAATTGTGAAAAAATTGACGATAAGAAAATAGTAAAGAGTTTGTGTACTATTCAACAATTCTGCTTGCATTCATGTTCCTTCTGTGTGTATGTGTGGCAAGTATTTGCCTTGTTTGTTTCGCAAATCTCCATTTGGAATAATGAAAAGCATGTAAAGAATCAAAGCGTTTATTGTTTTGATATGGCCAAATTGGTCAAATGTTATCTGTTGAACAAAAAAAAACTCGACAAGGAATATTTAAAAGCAACTAAACTTCAGATTTTAGTCGAAAAATCCACCATAGTATTACGAAAAACTCCGGATTATTTCCGCAAAGAAACGAACGGAGTAATCAAAGACACACCGTGTCGGTGCTACAATTTCAAACACCTTGCATTCCTCTGCTCAAATGAATTGATAGCAATTTATGTTTCATTTCCGCTTCATCTTATCTCTGTGAGCATTTATCGTTCAACTCTTCATTCGCATTTGTATCGTTCCAATTTGCAAGAATTTAAATGAAACACCACTTCAATTTCTAGATGATTTTTTTCTCTCTCTCCTTCAGATGAAGAAACACACAAGTTGCGACTTCATCATTATTATTGTTCAGATTTGTTTGCAGCTATTATCCTATTCAATGCATGTGCTGATATGGCGATGTGATTTCCGCAGCTCCATTGACCTACACACATGTACGCTCTTTCTCTCTGTATCTGGTCGCGTGTTTGGTGTATCTCTTTCTCTCTATCTCCCTCTCTCTCTCTCAATCTCTCTCAGTCTTTGGCATTAGTCATTTACCACCGTTATCTCGAAACTACTACAGAAAAAACTAGCACACTTCACATTGAATTGGAATAACTACGAATG